CCTAAATGAAACATTTGAATTAAATGCAAGTGATAAAAATTTTAACAAACTAGATTAATTAAAATCTATTTGACTCATAATAATTTGAACTAATTTAGTCGATAAACCAAGAAATCAATTTAAACTAAGTGAAAGTTTTGAATTGAAACCATTTGAATAAGTAAATAAGGGTGCAAGAGTTGAATAAAATAAAATTTATTAAAGTAAACCAACACAAAGAAAATAGTTCATCCTTTGGGGAGTTCAATTAAGTTATTTAAAGTTAGAGTTAATAAAAAAAAACTAACAATAAGTAATCACAATTAAATAATCTAGGAGAATAAAGGAGAAGATGAATTTGGGCCCTTTTTGGGCCAAACTCGTTGTTGATTTGGGCTCTTGGCTCAATTCCCTTTTCGCATACGTCTGATGTATATCAGTGTATATCGGATGTATACAACCCATTTTTCTGTAATCCGACACCTGTTTCAGCTTCCCTTACGACATGCATTCTCTTCCCGAACTCCACGTGGTTCCGATTATGCGGTTGACTTGATAAGACGGAGAATGCAAGAAATAGGAATTGGGTCCAACTTGGACTCCGCCAACATACCATAAATCAAACAAAAGTAAAAGAAGAGGAATTAGAGTTGGACAAGATACAAAAATAAAAATAAAAAAAATAAAAACTTAGCATAATATTCAAATCACAAGCAAAGAAACTAAGTAGTAATTCACGTAATTAATATTAAATAGGTCACCAATTTTATTTCATCTTTTAATTGAAGGGAAAAAAAATCACTTCAACAAATGTAAAAGGAAAATAAACATGGACCACTAAAGTAAGTCCTACTTTATGGAATTATCAAACAAGACAACTTTATGCACATGGCAAGCATTTGATAAGTAAAGTATGCACACTGGAAAAAATTATTCATTAGCAATACTACTTTATGGAATGAACAAACAAGACAACTTTATATGCACATGACAAACATTTGACGAGTACAGTATGCACAATGGCAAAGATTATTCATTAGCAATAAGAGTGGATAAATTATAAGTGATAATATCATATGAACAGCAGTAAGCGGGTTTAGCAGCATTCAAGTGAAATAGTTTTGGTACAAAGAATAGCAAAGACACAAAATTAGTTTAAATAGCTATGTGTATCATGATTCCCATATTTAGAGTGAAAGAGCGAAAAAACATGGCATCGAATACTGGTTATTAATGCATATGCATAGTGACTACGACTTAACTAATACAGGTGTAGCAGTTTCAAACTTCAACAAAATGCCGTTATGCAGGCCAGAAAATAAGAATAGTAACAGTTCTAGTCAGAAAATCATCTTCGACACAAACCGAACCGAAACTTATTTATTATTGAAACTGAATGCATTCTAAGCAGTTGGAACAAGAACTCAACTAAATCTATCCATAACACGAGATTAGGCTAACATTTATATAAATCCATGATACCAAATCCTAATACAACAATCAAACAACAATTCCTAAAAAGAAATAATCAACCTTTCCCGGTTCTTAAACAGCAAGGGAAAGCTAACAATATGAAAGAAACATAACACATTCTGGAAAGAGAATTGCAAACTCATATGTGAAAACAAGAAATAAACGGCAACACACACTCATCCTATAATCACAACATGAGAGAAACAATTACAGAGCTCGATGAGAAAACTTATAATACCACACATAACTTCAAACACAATAACCCAGGTGCACCTGAAGTTAACAGAACAGTAAGAAGAGAAACAGGTTTTACCTTTTTTAGGGCAGCGACTGAGACAAACGAGTTGAAGAGCTTCCTACTACCACTGACCGCCACCAACAGATGATCCAAAGAACTTGAAAGAAAATTGAAAATTCGAGGCTCAAACCTTCGTGGGTTCAATTTCAGGGAATACTATTCTCCAACCTTCAAATTTCAATCCTCTGTTTGTCCCCTATTTTTTTGTCTCCGTGTGTCTCCTCTAAATGACACCAATACCATGTATTTATAGCAAAAATAAAGGCTTGAATTCAAATAGTCGTTTGAGCGGGAGATGAGAGATTGATTGGAGAGAATGGAAGAAAAAACAAGCAAGATGAGAACCTACCTCCGAAAATTCGGATTCGATGTGATATCCTCCGATTCGGATTAGATTTGGTTGAGATTTTTATCTAATCCAAAGTCAACAAATCAAGCTCGAGGTCTGCAATCTTTGAATATGGAAGGAGGGACTGTCAATGGTGATGGGTGGTGTAGTTGGATGAAGAAATTAGAGTTCTTGGTATTGACTTTTGCGTTTTGGAGGAAGAAAGAGGAGAGGTGCTTATGTGAGGCCTGGAAAAAGGGAAAAGAGAGAGAGTGTGGGAGAGTATATAAATCAAAATGATGGTCCATTTTATTTAAAAATTGGCCATTTAGTTGCTTATTTAACCAATTTGAGTTAGGTCTAATCAATTTGAGTCAATTAACAAAATTGGACAAAATTAAAATAAGATGAATAATTATCGATTAATTATTTGAGCTTCGTAATTTAAACAAGATAAAATAATTATCAAAACTTATTTATTGCTTTAAAATAGAGAACTAATTATACAAAATTATAAAATTAACTAATGCGTAATTATGATAAACATTATTTTTTAGGCTATTTATTAAATATTTATATAAAAGACCAAAATTACATAAACCAACATGTAAATTTATATAATTATTTCTGAAAAATACTAACCAAAACTAAACAGAAAGAGATTTTAAAAAATTTTCAAAGACGATTATTTCAAATTGTTTGAAATTGAAGAAGCTCGATAGTTAACTCGAATTGCATAGGGTCAAAATTGGGTGTCAACACTTGATTCGCTCACTTTGGAGGTTAAGTGTGGGTGCCACTCACGACTCGTTTTGGGTCGTGAAAATAATTGTATATATGTAACTACTATGTATATAAGCCAGAGCAACCACCCACAAGACTAGGATTCAAATCCAGCTATAGCCCAATTCATTGTTAATTGTTATTGATGTTTTTCGCTAAAGCCTAAATTAAGATAATATTAATGCACCCAAAGTCTTCAAATTCTGGTCCCTCAATGGAGTGTATTTTTTTTTTATAAACAATTAACTTCATTTTAGAAATTATGCAATAGCATATTATTTTAAATATAAGAAATCAAATAGTTAATAAGAAATAATATTAAGATAACTAATTTCACTATACCCAATTTTAGTATAACTAATCTCATCATAATTAATCTTAATCAGAGAATATAATTTTCATAACATCTTTTCATTTCCCTTTCTGTTGGAACTAGATATGGCAATGGGGCGGGGTGGGTGGATTTAAGGCTATGCGGGGCGGGACAATTTTAATAAGGCTGTGTCGGGCGGGGAGGGATGTGTGGCGGGGTGGAGTGGATTTTTTAAAACACTAATGTGGGGCGTGGCGGGTTGTGGGTCAATGCGATTTTATGCGGGTTCAAACATAATTTTAAATTTTTACATATTATAAGAGTGTTAGAGCATTATTTATTAAGATAAATTACAAAAATATTCAAGTTAGTAAATGAAAATGGTTCAATAAAAATAATTGGTTTCTTACATGCTTCCCAATTGACTTCTATAAAATTGAATCTTAAGTCACTATCTATTAAATTAATACAACTTGATGAGAAAATAAATTATTTTTTAAAAATTTTATTTCTAGTATCAAACTTAATTAAAAAAGAAAATATTAAAATATTTATGTGGGGCGAGTCTATGTGAGCCGTGTTGAAAATGAAAAAAATTGTTATGCTCGGCGAAGCGGGGTAAGTTCAAAGTTTTGCGGGTTAAGCTCAACCCGGCCCACACCCACCCTATTGCGATCTCTAGCTGGAACTATAACGACCCAAAAATGGATGTGATGACACTCGTCTTATCCCACCAAGACAAGTCAGCCTAAACCCAACCATTTCGATAAAGTGCAGAAATAAGATATAATTAAAAGTTTAATAACAAATAATAATACGGATAACAAGTCAACTTAACTAAATTCCCAAAATATGTATGTTACGTGCACAAGCATCTGATGTATTACAATAGATTTGAAACAAAAACACAAGTCTCAAATGATATTGTCTATAAAACAGAACAAAAATCATAAATATGAGTAAGAAGGTCTACTGAGATGACAAACAACTAGCTCACAAATCTCCAAAGGATGCCTCGAACAAGAAGAGGGAGTATCACGAAGATCCGAGCTCGTAACTTACACAATTGTATAAGCAAGGGGTGAATACCAAACCACACGGTACTCGGCAAAAAAATAATCCTAAACACAAAGATAAGAGTATAGAATACAAGTACTCCTACCACTCCAACTGAACCTCCACAACTACATCCTGCATAAAATCAGCCTAGTAACACCTCGGACTTCGAAAGAGCTAAATAGAGGTTCGTACAAGTTATCCATCAGTTTTAAGTTTTGGTGAACTTCAAACAACCATATATTTTAGCACATAAAGAATTAGGTGGCCTATGAGCTATCAAATCGAAGATCTTTGAGTCATCTTTCCAACACCGCCAAGTTTTCTCAATTTCGAGCTTGGAGTAAACAATTAAGCATGTTTCAGAGAAGCCTCTCTATTTAAGACATTTCAATCGTTTTAGAAAAGGGTATTTTGATCTTTCCTTTTTCCCACTAGGTTTAGCACGTTTTTCCTGACCCAATTAAGGGTCTAATCAGATTATAAATCACCTCTTCACATTCCAAAACACTTAAAGATTTAGAGCTAGGTTTCAAGAGGAGAAAAAGGGCTAAGTTCAAGTGTTCTTCGATACTTGTTATTTTCACCAAGAACATCGTTCTTACCAAGTATGTAAGGCTTCTCACAGTGTTGGACTTGTTCGTCCTCACGCCATACATCTAATGCATCCATGAAATCGTTATGTTAAGAGATTCTTGAGTAGTTCTTGATTTTAGTTTCATTCTTTAACAATAGAAGTTTTGAGTTTCTTGGGTTGAGGATCTTGAGTATGAGTTATGATTTTTGAAAGGAATTGTATGAAGTTTCTATGAATTCGTGTTGGGTTTAGAATCAAGAACGTTAGAAGAAATCACCCAATTCTAGACGGGTTAGGACCCTAAATTGAGTAGAAAAATTCGTTGGATTTTTAAGGTAGGGGCCTGGGGCGGCGAGCCACCATAGAGCCAAGGCCTGACTTCAGTAGTTCAGGCCCTGGGGTGACGCTCCAGTAGTGCGCCAAGGCCTGACTTCTGAAGTTCAGGCCCTGGAGCGACGCGCCACCCGTGCGCCAAGGTCGCCTGGTCCTTTTTCTTTCTATGCTTCTTTCCGAACGTGTTCCTTTTGAATCATGACTACCTTTTATTTGTATTAGCTTCTAAAGTATCCATTAATCTTTGAGAGATCCTACATGTATTAATTTACATTCCACACCAAAATGAGTTTAAGAGGTCTTTTAGAGTCATTTTGAGAATTCTTTTGTAATCAACAATGGTTTTGAACTAAGTCTTGAGAAGGTAAATATGAGAATGAGAAGAGTTGTATTCATGATTGAAAAGAGTATAAGGGAACTAAGTATTCCCAAATGTAACACATTTACATTTAAAAAGAGAGAACATTGATTTCTAATTGAGTTTATGAGTTCAGATATATTTCAGAGTATTACCTATTTTAAGAGGATCTTTTGAGTAATCTCAAATTGAGAAAGAATTATGTTTTATACATTTGAGCATGAATTTATAAATTATTGGGAGTAGTATTGAGCACCGATATGGGGATGAGTTGAGACTACTCACATTCCTCATAAATTATGTAGCCAACATAGGTAAAAGATCATACTTTTTAGAAAACTCCATATTGCTTTTAAGCATAGTTTAGTGGATTTACTTAGTTGAGGTATTCTATACCCCCAACAAGGTATAGAACAGTTCTGACAGTGTGGGCGAGACGATGTATCATCACATAACTCATAGTGATGGTTGTCGATTAGAGAATACCCCAAATAAAAGTAAAGAATAACTTACTATATTTTTATACATCTTGAGTTGATATTTACTGTTTTAAAGCTTTAAGTATTGCCTCTCTTATTATTGCTTTTATATTGGAGTTGAGTTGAGGTAATATGTCTTCCAGCCTTATTAGTTTAGTTATCTATGCTTTCAGTTTTACCTTACATGCTCAGACATTCAATGTACTAATGTCATTCGTTGTGCATCTTATTATGAGACAGATACATGTGTTCACGGTCATCAGCATGTACTTCGTTGATGCCATTTGCATTCCAGCTAGCTTTGGTAAGTCTCCTTGCTTTCTGAAGGTCTTCACGCTAATTTCCTGCTTTTGTTAAGTTGTCGTGGGTTCTGTCCCGACATTTATCTTAGTATTAGAAGCTTCATAGATAACTAGAAGTTGAAGAGTCTTTCATCCTTGTTGATGTTTTGAAACCTTGATTCAATTACTTATGTTTTATTAAGTATTTCCAGAAATTTCTTGAGTAAGTTATAATTGAGACATATTTAGTTTAATTATGCACTTGGAGTTCCATTTTGCTTGAGTTGGCCTTCCGCTAAGTAGTCAGCCAGGCCAGGGGTTCACTTGAGGACCAACAATGGTTCTTGAGTGCCAGCCACGTTCAGGGTGTAGGACCGAGGTGTGACAAACTTGATATTAAAGCACAAAGAGTCCTAGGTTATCTATGGAGCAGTGTCTGTAGGGTCATATTTTTTGGTGTGAAGAAGCGCGCTATAATTAGGATGCTGTGACATTTAGGAAACATTTCACTTTCTTCTTACTCTTTTCGTGTAATAGAGTTCAACTCTATAAAGTTCCCTCTAACTCGTACGTATGCGTGTCTTTTCAGATCATGCCTCCACGAAGAGCTGTTCGCGGACATCCTACTAAGAGGAATGTGAATCCTCAAGGTCAAGAGGTTCCCAATGAACCATAGGAGCAACCCCCTTAGGGAGATGTCACCAATGCCGAGTTCTAGAATGCTATCAAGATGTTGACTTAAGTTGTAGCAAATTAAGCTAGTCAACAAAGAGTGGGTTGTCAAGATGTGGCTGATACATCCAGAATCCATGAGTTCTTGAGGATGAATCCCCCCAGAGTTCACAAGTTCGAACATCACCGAGGATCCAGAGAACTTTGTGAAAGAACTTCAAAAAGTTTTTTGAGGTTATGCGTGTTGCCAATGCACAACGTGTGGAGTTAGCTTCATAGCAACTCAAAGGTTTTGCTAGCATATGGTACAATCAATGGAAGAAGAGTGGGGCAGAAGGGGCACCACCTTTGAGTTGAGTTGTGTTCGAAGAGGCTTTCTTGGGGCATTT